CAAGTGACTTTGGCAGCTCAGATCAAACACCAGGAGTGAAGTGTTGGGATGTCCTGTTTACTGTTCACCAAGGCCCGTAAGAGATTTATCAGGACCCATGCACCTGGGATCAGAGACACAGCAGGGATGGGGCAGGTCTGGGGCTTTGATGGAAGGTTCAAAACGAACACCCTAGGATGCCACACCAGGCCTCTTTATTCAGGTACATTTTAATTAGTACAGAATGCAGAAGAGTGATATAATTATGAAGAGCCAGCTCTGGGGGGAAAAAACTAGAGAGAAAAACAAATGAAAAGTAGAACTGTTTTAACCTTGAATGTTTCCCATTTTACTTTTGCCGACGGAGGGATCTGAGCCACTCTAGGCACACTTGAATCTGCAGAAAAGGGACATTTTCCTATGGGCACCTGATTACAAACCTGCCGCTTCCCCCGCTCTCAACAGCTGTCATTCAGAGTAACTTGATTACGCGAAGTTAAAGAGCTGAGGAAATAAGGATTTTTTACAGTTTCCCTGGCTAACGTGCCTCCACCGGAGAAGACAGAAATGAGATTTTACACTGAATTAGACTTCTCTTAAGGAAGGCAATTCCATTGATCCTGAGATTAGCACTGGTTTTACCACCTGACCCTCTGCCGACCTTACGTTTTGAAAAGAAATTGTTCACAGATTGGTAGCAAAGAGGGAAGGAACAATCTACAGATGCTATGAGAAAGGAGCACAAGAGCACATATTCATTTTTACAAGACTGAGCGACATTTCCAAATTATCAGGTGAAACACACACATAAGGGCATAATCTAAGGACAGTTTTGGAGGGGAAAAAAAAAGTTTCAACATCACTGAATTTGAATAAAATTTCTCTAAGGGTTATATAGAATATAAAATGTGGGTGTAACGTTAGAAAGAATTTACACTATAAAGAGCAGAACAATATAAAAGCACACAGACTCAACGTATAAGTATGTAACATAAAAACGGGCTGCTTTTACAAGTTTCTCAAATGTTTCATTAATTAGGCCAAATACAACGCTTTTCCCCTTGCTTTTCTGTTACTGATCCTGGCTGCTTCTCTTCAGGTCTCTGCATCGGTGTCCTCCTCTTCTTCCTCCTATCCTAAGCCTGCCTTCTTCTCTCTTCTATTACTCCACAAGGCTCCAGCCCAAACACACATCTCACCTTCCCACCTAACAAGGTGTTGCTTATGCTGTACTCGGTACCCCAACTGTCCTCAGCCTCCATGCTCATATGTCCAAATACCACTCACCTCTCACAGCTCCCTCCATGAAATCTCTCCTAGTTTCCACCAGCACAAGCCATCTCCTATAGCTTCACTTGGGGCATTTACTCTTTCCTACTCTGTAATCAGCAATACCAGGCCCCTGGAAACTGTAAAGTCCACGAAGCAAGCTCTTAGAGGAACTGGAATTTGAGCTGGGGCTACTCTCTGAGAAATCTGAAAATGCTGACCACCATCTACACTTCTCTCTTGCTCAAGAACTGGGGACAGGGAGGGGTAGGGATGAAAAGAAGACGCTAACAGCTATGGACGGTCTTCATTTCTCTCCCACATGACAGTCATGCACATCCCCACTGACTGTCCATATCTGCACGTGGATCCCAGCCACTGCCACAGACCCAAGGAGAAAGAGGACATTTCCTTTTCAAAACTGGAAAGAGTATAGAAGAACATAACAGAAAAAAAGTATGTTATGGAGCAACATTCTATCTATCACACAGTCTTTTCAAAGACTGTGTGATAGATAGAATCCTCTTTCTAACAATGTAAAGACCAGTCCTTCTGTGGGGAGGGAACTGAAGCAGCTCACCTAATGCCCTGAACTACCACCACTCTGAGGGGAAGTGACGTTCATTCTGCTGCACGAGGACACCCCACACCATCAGGGCGCTCATGAATTCTCCTCTGTTGAGCAATCAATCTGTTCTTTAAAAGGTGTGGCTGTCTGGGTCTACGAAAACCACTTTTACAGAGTATCTGTTTGGAATACCTATAAAACATTCTTAATATAATGTGACAGTTTTCACCAAATATTCTAGTAATTTAAAACTTTTAGTGCTCAAGCTCAGGCCAGAATGAAATATTTGCTATTTGACAATGATAAAATAGCACTGTAGGGATTTTTGGCCCTGATTCAGTAGTAAAAATTAGAAAAACTGATGCTAGGAGGTTGGGCTGCCTCCAAAGACTTACCAAGGAAATAAACTTTTTAAATAAACTTTTTAATATAATGCAGTTCCTTAAAGAAATGTCAGCTTTTAGTCACAGTGGTGGGTGAGTCCCTTCCCTGAGGCAGGAAAAGGCTAAAGGCCAGTGTACAGGACTTCCCTGGTGGCGCAGTGGTTAAGAATCCGCCTGTCAGTGCAGGGGACACGGGTTCAAGCCCTGGTCCAGGAAGATCTCACATGCCACAGAGCAACTAAGCCCGTGTGCCACAACTACTGAGCCCGTGCGCCACAACTACTGAGCCCGTGTACCACAACTACCGAAGCCCACACGCCTAGAGCCCATGCTCCACAATGAGAAGCCACCGCAATGAGAAGCCCGTGCACCGCAACGAAGAGTAGCCCCCACTCACCGCAACTAGAGAAAGCCCGCATGTAGCAATGAAGACCCAGTGCAGCCAAAAATTAATTAATTAATTTTTTAAAAAAAGAACTTTGGAAAATATCTCTCTTATAAAAAAATTTTTAAAATTACAAAAAAATAAAGGCCGGTGTAAAATGTAAGAAACTCTTTACTAAATTAAAAAATTATATTTAATTCACTCTCCTCCAAGTAGTTAATACAATACTACTAAAATTCTATTATATAGTACTGATATGTAAATAATGTAACAAAAAGGCAGCATCTGTCCATTACATTGACATAATTTTTTTTCCATTAAATATGATTCTGCCACATTTGTTTGGAAAACACCTTCAGAAGCAAAAGCTAACAAGGTATAAGAAAACACAATCAGGATCCTCTTTAAGAAACTGCAGAGAAATGCAAAAAGCAAGGCAGAGAAATAGCAGAGTTTCCTAAAAGATCTCCAATGTCATTACTGGAGAAAATTCAACAGGAACCACACACCAGGGACTGAAAATCCGGTTAAGAAGGGAACTGATCCTCCGCTTACTTGCACTCATCAGATGCAGCACAGATGTGACTGTGTGTCAGACAATGTGCCAGGGACAGCCACAAGGCGACAAAGGGCACACACCGTCGACTACAAGTGGCTTGTCGCTGGTCTATGTGATTCTTTTCTGTCTAATTTGAAGCAACGCTTAAAAGTCAGGAGATCTCAAAATGCAGTAGCCAGGCTTTGCAGGTGGCACAGTGGTTAAGAAACCGCCTGCCAATGCAGGGCACACGGGTTCGAGCCCTGGTCTGGGAAGATCCCACATGCCATGGAGCAACTAAGCCCGTGCTCCACAACTACTGAGCCTGCGTGCCACAACTACTGAAGCCCTCGTGCCTAGAGCCCGTGCTCTGCAACGAGAAGCCACCACAATGAGAAGCCCACACACTGCAACGAAGAGTAGCCCCCCTCGTCGCAACTAGAGAAAAGCCTGTGCGCAGCAACGAAAACGCAACGCAGCCAAAAATAAATAAAATTTAAAAACAACAACAAAAATGCAGTAGCCTAAGTCTTTACAGATTATCTCATTTCCATACAACAAAGATCCTCTTTCGCCTACCATGATTCCCTTCCCCACTTGTAACATGTGACAGCAGAGGACCTAGAAACTTCCAATAAAATCTCCTGCATCCCGTGTGTGGCATAAGTTTAATTTTCCTTACCGTCAAATCACTACAAACGTGCCAAACACCATCCTCAACTACCCTTCAATGAATAAACCATGTTAACTCAACCTTTGACATAAGGTCTGAAGATGATAAAGACATGATGGGTCCAAAGGAAAATTATTTTACTCAGCAGCCTGTTGGCATGGCCCCCATGAAGCAACAGCACATAAAGGCCAAGAGCAAGGACACCAGGCTCCTGCACAGAAAAGAAATCAGACGAAAAAAAGAGACATGTCCCTGCAAAGCAATGAAAATTAAATCAGTTTCGCTTTTCTCCCTCAAACTAAACCAAACCTCAAAAAAACTAAGATAGGCAAATCAACTTTTTTTTAAACTGTCTGTTATAATAACCCCAAGCAGACTATTTCCCAAACGTTTTATTGTTAGGCAACAAACCCATCTTTCACTTCTTGTCATTTGCAATTACCGTGCTGTAGCTGAAAATAAGTGAGTCACTATGCAGCACAGGGGAGAGGGCCTACCAGCTCTGAGCTGTCACTGTAATCACCACAGAATAAACAAACAATATCAAGAGTTCTTTCTTCATCATCTTTAACCCATATATTGCGGAGACTCTAAACAATTTATACTCTGTAATTCCCCTCTTTCCCTAAAGATGGCATGGTATTTCACAACATTTTCCCCTTCATTTTCCCCTTTTCTTTAACAGCCCACGTGAGGCCCGCACCAAAGACCTCAACATAATTTAGAATCTATCTGCAGGAGCCAAGAATTCAATTAAGAGAAAAATTATCTTGCAAGGGTTTGGGCAATTCAGCCCATTAACCCTCTTGTAACTTTGCTGGGAAAAGAACCTGAATTGTCTAACAAAAGGCTTCACAAGTCGGAAGGAACAGGCAGGGGCAGGGGTGAAGGATTCCAGAAATCTGGGTCCTGTCTGCAACCCTACCCCATTAGCAAAGTCACGCAATGCCCTAGGCCAGCGACCTTTAGGAACCCTGGGGGGGTTCACTCCTGGGCTTTCTAAACCTCACTGCATGTAAGAGCTTCTAAGCAGGGTCCTCAACAATTTTTAAGTTTACAAACTTAAAACGGTGACCAACAGAACTGCTGAGTTTATTGTCTGTGAACAAGGTCTGGATCAATCATCTGATGAAACTGAGTTTCAACCTGTCACGAAAAGGAAGGCAAACAACGGACACCCCCTCCGCACTCTGGCCGGGACCCACCTTGGTGGCCTCCTCTACGCTCTCCCGCAGGGCCCGTAGCTCGGCGTCGTACTGCTCCTTCAGCCTGTCCATCTCCTGGTCGTGACTGGAAACCTCTTCTTTCAGGGCTCCCTTCAGGGCGGTGAGTTCGCGCTCCCGCTTTCTCAAGAGGTCTTCCTGCTCCTCTTTGGCGATGAGTAGATGCTGAAGGTCCTGCTTTGCCTGCAGAAGCTCCTGGAGGGAGGAAACGCGGGCGGGGAGGTGAGGATGCCGAGCTGCCCTGCACCTCCCCCTCGGTCACCGGCACACACGGCCCTACCCTTCCTTGCTTGCCCTCCGCACTCTCTCCTCCCGTACACTATACGCTGCTTTAGCCCCTCTCCTCCTCTCCCCTTCCCTTCCTCAGAGTCCACCGTCCCCCTCGATTCAACTATCTTAGCTTTTCTGACATTTAATTTGAGGGAGGAAAGGGAAACTGATTTCATTTTCGACGCTCTGAGGGGCCAGGTCTGCTTTTTCCATCCCACGTCACTTCGGTGCGATGGTCTGTAGCCCTTGCTAGCGGCCTTCAGGAGCCGTTGCTTCGTGGGGGGCACGCCGACTTGCTGGCCTCGCTTACTTCACCCCCAGAAGCCCGCGTGTAGTCAAACCCTTAAGCCACAACCCGAGTCCTCGGGATGCCCCTGCCCCATGCTGAGCAGGCACAATATTCACACGTTCTCCGCCTTCACTGCCTCATAACCTCACTGTTCACGAGCAAAGTCACAAAACTGGGGCAGCAAGTTCCGCTATAAATCACATCACCTAAACCCAAGTGTGTCCTGCCAAGGCTGGGCATTCCCTTCAGGTCACCATCTCTAGTCAGACCTGCTCAGCTCCCCTCAAGCTGAGGCTCACCCTTCCCGGTGGACACCCCTGCTTTGTACTCAGCCAGGACTTGGGCTTGACCACCCAGCTCCTCTCTGGACGCCAGGGTTCCTCTCCACCCAAAGCCACTTCACAGACAACAAGCTTTCTCCCCTGCCACCCTGCTCCAAGGCCTTACTCATCAGCTGTCTTTTTTTTCTGTCATTTTGCTCCTTTCTGTTTCCTTGAATCTATGTCCTTTTCCTCAGGGCACAAGGATCCTGAGTCAAGGGCAAAAACAAACAAACGAAAAAACAAGGTTTTCCACCAAACTTTTTTTTTTTTTTTTTTGTGGTACGCGGGCCTCTCACTGTTGTGGCCTCTCCCGTTGCGGAGCACAGGCTCCGGACGCGCAGGCTCAGCGGCCATGGCTCACGGGCCCAGCCGCTCCGTGGCATGTGGGATCCTCACGGACCGGAGCACGAACCCGTGTCCCCTGCATCGGCAGGCGGACTCTCAACCACTGCGCCACCAGGGAAGCCCTCCACCAAACTTTTGAAAGGATAATTTCTGTTCACTGCCTCTACTCCTTGACCACCCTGTCACTCCTTACTCTCTTGCAAATGGCTTTTGTTCCTAGTCTGCTAAGCCTGTCCCCTCCAAGGTTGTACTGACCTCTTAATCTCCACATCCAATGGCCTTTTCTCAGTCCTCACTTTTCTCAATCCCTCTTTGATCCTCTTCACCTGTCCCCTTAGAATTCTCTTCTGCCTTGCAGTTCAAAGACACTGCATGCTCATTTTCTTCCCTCGGGCCACTTTTTCTGAGACAATGTTTTCTGGTTTTTCTCTCCCTCTTATTAAAAAGCTAAAATGATCCCCAAGAATGTGCCTTTGCATTCTTCATTCTTTTTTGGCAAGCTCATCTAGGTTTTTTTTTCCCCTCAATTTTAAATTCTATATAAATAACCCCCCAAACCTTTACCTCCAACCCTTATCTGAGTCCAGACCTGCGAGACTCATCCATCTGGATGTCCCTTGGGCACCTATGATTCCGGAGGCTTATGTTTCTCAGTGCCTTTTTTTGTTTGTTTTTTTTTTTTTTGCGGTACGCGGGCCTCTCACTGTTGTGGCCTCTCCCGTTGCGGAGCACAGGCTCCGGACACGCAGGCTCAGCGGCCATGGCTCACGGGCCCAGCCGCTCCGCGGCATGTGGGATCCTCCCAGACCAGGGCACGAACCCGTGTCCCCTGCATCGGCAGGCGGACTCTCAACCACTGCGCCACCAGGGAAGCCCTCTCAATGAATTTTTCAAGTCCCTTCCTCTCCTCTTCTTTGGAACGGCAGTGCCTGCTCAGGAGCCTGGCAGCGACTTTAATCTCTCTCGTCCTTGTCCCTCACAACCAAAAAGTTAGTTCTGTAACATCTTAGATCCTTTCCCTCACCTCTCTGGTTGAGGCTCTCACCAACTCCAGCCCAGGTGGTTTGCAAGAGCTGCCCAACAGCTCCCAACCTCCAGTTTCTCACCTGTAGCCTCTATGCCATCACCCACACAGCATCCTCTGTCTGGGATGCCCTTCGTCCCTCTCGGTCCCATGTCTCTCTGCCTTTCAGAAAACCTCTCAAGACTCAGATACTGTATGACCTCCTTCAAGAAGTTTTCCTTGAATCCCCTTCCTGAATACCCACCGCACTTAAGCTGTGCTTCTCATAGCACTTAATACTTTTACCGTGCAGTCCTTGTATCTAGATTTTATTTTCCTATCTCTCTTGCTAGATTATCAGCTCCTTGAAAAAAGGACATAGATCTGATTTATATTTCTGATGCACGGATCAATGATATTGGGAGTGGGCCTGTTCTGGACATAAATAAATTAACATGGGCAGTACAGCAGGAGTCTGGAGATGTCAGAATTCTAAACTCGTCTATTCTTTCACTGGCAGCTTCTAAGTAAATACGCATCCTGTCCTCTTGGAGCTCCTGGCGAACTGAAGGAATGGTTGCCACCTGGGACCCGAGGCCTCAGAGATGATACACTACTTTCCATTTAAGAAGTGGGTCACTGATGAGGGGATGAAACTACCTGTATCAAGTTAAGAATAACTGACAATGGAATCTCTTTCCTTTACTCTAGGCATGCACATCCATTAAACCAGGGGAGCCTCTGCAATCCCAGGATAGAGCTGCATTGCACAGACTAAGAATTAGTCCTTCAAGAATCTAGCTAGCAAGCACTAATAAGCTTAGAAGAAACTTCCAGAGACTCGTCTAGGCAACTAGAGCAACTCTGGCTCTTCCAAAGCACCAAACACAGAACACATAAGTAATTTTATGAAAATATACCCCCGTCCTGATATTTGTCAAAGGAGATGCCCTGTGCTTCCCACTGTCCAGTCCCTCCTTAGGGATATTAGAAACACCCACAAACCGCCCCCCACCCCTCGCATTACTGTTGCTATTGGCTATCTCTCTAGGCCTTCCTGGAGCCTCCTGCCAGCTTCTTCACAATTGCCCTTGCGAGCCTACCCCCGTTTCCTGCTCTTATTTTCACACATTTCTCAATTGTTTTAACGATAAGTCAGTTCCTCTTCCCACACTTATCTTTTCCCGGATATATCTGTGTTTTGTGTTGCCTTTTGTGTACTGCCACCAATGCATGTCAAGAACCTGTTTTTATGGTCCATTCTACACCAACATGCTGTTATCTGTGTCTGGGGCTGTTGCTTAAGTGGACTCTGTTGCACAAATCCAATCAGATTATACCTCACCGTATCACTGAGTAGCACCTGAAGCTTGCCAGGGTAGAGACCGAAAGGGACGGGAGATTTCAAAAACTTCACTTCATCACCTCGGTGGCTTCACTGCCAATTATATCAAGCCAAAGAAGTGAGAGAAAACATATAAACCTCGAAATATTCGTGAACGTCTATTAGAGATGCACATGCCTCTCTGTAGACTCCAATCAAAGCAAACAAAGGAAAACTCTGGGCACTCAGAATCTACTTTCAAAACCTATACACATCCAGGCTAGCTGCACACATGAAAGTACAAGAGATAGAGACCTAGTATGGATGTGTATTTGGGGGTGGGTACAGGGTAGGCTAAAAAAATTGACTGTGTTTGGTACTTACTACATAATAAGAATTACGCTAAGCATTTCTAAAAATCATAGGAGAGGGCTCCCCTGGTGGCACAGTGGTTGAGAGTCCGCCTGCCGATGCAGGGGACACGGGTTCGTGCCCCGGTCCGGGAAGATCCCACATGCCGTGGAGCGGCTGGGCCCGTGAGCCATGGCCGCTGAGCCTGCGCGTCCGGAGCCTGTGCTCCGCAACGGGAGAGGCCACAACAGTGAGAGGCCCGCGTACCGGAAAAAAAAAAACAAAAAAAACATAGGAGATGAATATTATTACTTAAAAAACAAAAAACTAGAGCTCCGAGACGCTAAGATGCCTAAGATCACGCAGTTTATAAGTGGGAGAGCGAAGACTGGGACCCATATCGGATACCAATGCCCGTTGTCTTCACTACACAGCCTCTGCAGGCCTGACGACAAAACTACACACTCAAGAAAGTCTGAGGAGCGGGCAGTTCCTCAGTCTCTCAGATGCAAATGAACGGTGTATTGAGTTCTGCTCAAGTGCTTGTAAGGAGGTCCACCTTTCTAAACAGGAGCAAAGAAACCTGCCCAGAACCTGAAAAGACAAGAAGGAAAGTTGAGAAGAAAAGGAAGCATGCTCTGGGCCCCAGCTGTTACTAGCAGCAGCCAGTGGCTGTCCTGACAGCAGGGGCACCAAAAGACACAGACCAGAATGTCCCGAGTAGCAGCTCATCTGCCCACAGAAAGTTTCACTTCACACACCACCTACTCACAGGTATTCCATGTCAAAATGAGAAAACAAAACTGATCTAGGCTCTCTTTTGCATAAAAGCTTCCCAGAAGTTCTACAGAGTCCCTATCTCTGGCCCACACTCATTGAAAGGAAAAGTAAAGGTCTTTTATCAAAACTATAGCTGCCAAAGAATTATGTTATTTTTTTTCCCCAGAAGGATGGCCTACAAAGTGTAACACAGTTGATGAGAAACATGATTTTTTCTGTTGCTTCTTTAGTAAAATGTGTATAATGTTCAGTAACATCACAACACAATAAGCTTATAATTATTCTAGAGATGTCATTTCTGAGCACAGCCTATCCCCAGACCAATAGGATTTTAAAACCAGAATAGTTTACTGATATCTAAGTACTTGTATCTTGGTAAATGTCAGGGATAAAACACCATGAGATTCTGTTGGCCCATCTGTCAACACTACAGGCTCCCATCAAAGACAATCTTTGGTAATTAGAAAAACCCACCGTCATGAGGCTTAGAGAGATGTCGCATGTTTACCCATCACTCCAAGAACAGAGGGAAACATATTCATGGACAAAGAAGTGACTGAAAACTTGACCTATAATTATTTTTGTATCTTGAGTTAAAAAAGAAATTCGGAACCATCAGTTGTTTAACTAAGAAATAACAGTCATCCTATTCTTGGTCAATTATTTGACTTCTCCTAAAAAAACAGGATATTTTCTACTATTTCTTCCTTTTTTCCTTCCTTCGTTCCTTTCTTTTTTTTTTAAAATGATTTTATTCTCTCTTAATGTTACTTTACTGACTCCATATAGGGGCCCAATGTTATTGGACAGAATGTGAAGTATTAAAAGATATTTCATGAGAAATCTTATGTATTATGCAGGCCTCACAAAATTTAGGGCCTTCAAGCTTTTGCAAACATTAAAAAGCAAAAGTGTTTAATGTTCATTGTGTTTAAGAGTCTGTTCTAAGCCAAGTGCCATGGAGAACTTGGCTACAACTATAATTGGTTATCAGATTCCCCCAGGCCACTTTTTATTAAGATATGAAGAATAAACTGAAAGTGACGAGGAGACGGGGTTTATTTTATTAGGGATATAGAATCCATAGATCGTTTTTTAAATGTTGCTGACACGTCAAAGGAAACTGATAAAAAGAGTGAGGACAATTTTCCAGAGGGGGAGAAACCCACTTTGGCATAGAGAAGCTAATTGTGTCCTAACTTTTCTTGCCAAAAGGCAGCAATAGATGATATAGCTTCCATTACAGGAAAGAGGCAAATAACGAGAAGACCAGCAACACCAGGAACATTTTCAAGAAAAGATGTACGCTGTTTCCCTTTCCTGAGTCTCTCATTATTAGCCTCTGCCTGAAAACACATCACCAAAGCTGAAGCTCATATCCCAGTTACCACTATAAGTCAAAAAGCTAGTTATGTTCAGTTAATATATGCTCACTATACTGTGTTCAAAGAGGCAAAGAAGCTACAGTTCATTTCAGAATTATTCCCTTTTTTTTTTTAGTGGTGGCATTTTTAAAATAATTTATCTTTTTTTTTTCTTTTCTCCTTTGGCCACACAGCACAGCATGTGGGATCTTAGTTCCCCAACTAGGGATCGAACCTGTGCCCCTTGCATTGGAAGCACAGAGTCTTAACCTCTGGACCACCAGGGAAGTCCCTAAAATTAATTTAAATATTGAAATTTATTTATTCATTTGCTCTGTTGCCTGGCACTATGCTAGGCATGAAATGTGGGAAGAAGCAAAGATGATATGCTCTTCAATGAAAAAGAAATAGCAAATCAGAGCAAGCTCAAATGCACTAAAACAGAGAATCTAAAAGGATAGAAAATACCTGAGGAAAGGACAACTAACAATTTTAGGTTTTAGTTACTAGGAAAATTCAGCAACTTAAGAGACTTCCTGATAGTTAAGATAATATCTTTCCCTTTTAGAATCAGTGAGGTGTCCACACAAGGAATCACAGACTATGGCAAAGTCTTACCTTCTATTTAAATGTTTCTGAAGTTACCTTTTTTTTTTTTTTTTTTTTGGCGGTACGTGGGCCTCTCACTGTTGTGGCCTCTCCCGTTGCGGAGCACAGGCTCCGGACGCACAGGCTCAGCAGCCATGGCTCACGGGCCCAGCCGCTCCGCAGCATGTGGGATCCTCCCGGACCGGGGCACGAACCCGTGTCCCCCGCATCGGCAGGCGGACTCTCAACCACTGCACCACCAGGGAAGCCCTGAAGCTACATTTTTATCAAAAGTCATAACCTGTTCAGTGACATTTCTCTCCTTAGGAAATTTTTCTAAAGAAGTAAAAGGATACATATAAAAAATTCAACATATTTTCTCATATTTTAAAAAAAAAGAAACAACTTAAATATTGGAGGATGGTTAAGCATATTGTGGGGTATCTTCTTAAAAATGACATATGAAGACTATAAAGTATCATAAAGAAAAATATTTCTGACATATTAACTTTTAAAAGCACGTATCAAAACTATAGACACACTATATTTGCTCCTACATTATAGATGAAATCTGTCAATGTATAGGGAAACAAATAAAAATGTAGGAAAAAAGGGCTTCCCTGGTGGTGCAGTGGTTGAGAGAGTCCGCCTGCCGATGCAGGGGACACGGGTTCGTGCCCCGGTCCAGGAAGATCCCACATGCCGCAGAGCGGCTGGCCCCGTGAGCCATGGCCGCTGAGCCTGCACGTCCGGAGCCTCTGCTCTGCAACAGGAGAGGCCACCGCAGTGAGAGGCCCACGTACTGCAAAAAAAAAGAAAAAAAAAAAACAGAAGTGGGATGGGAGAAAAAGAGCAAGGAGTAGGGGATGCAGGGACAACAGAGGCTATACTAAGAAAAGTGAACTCTGAGAGAGAGAATAATGAAAGCAATGTGGGATTCCTGACTGGATTCTGGCTTGGGGGAAAAACAACAACTGGCAAATGATGAAGAAAGACCATATATTGTATATAATACAACATAGGAATTAACTTTGCAGATGTGATAATAGTATTGTGGTTATAAGAAAATTCCCTAATTATTCAAATGCATACTGAAAAGTTTAGGGGTGAGACGTGGTTTTATCTATAAATTACTTTGAAATGGTTCAGCAAAGATGAATAGATATAAAGCAACGATACTCCAATGAAAATTAACTTAAAAAAAAGATGGATAAATGAATGAAAAAAAGAAAAATGAATGGATGGAGAGAAGAAAAAAATGGAGTAAATATGGCAACATGTTGATAACTGTTGGATTTGGATTGGGACTCTACGGCAGTTAACACATTATTCTATTTTTCTGTACAGCTGAAAATTCTCCTAAGATAAACTATTGCATATGATGCTCTCACAGAAGGGAACATAGGGACAGGTAGAACAAACACACAACAGAGTATGGCTCCCAGTTCCCCCACCCATCCCATACTGTCCAGGCAGACGGGGCCTCTCTTGTCACCTGACCCCAGCCCCGCTTACCTCAATCAGAGCCCCTTTCTCCCTGTCCTCGGATTGTTTAGCACTGTCCAATTCATCATGCATTTCTGAGAGCTGGTCCTGGAGATCCCTGATCTCAGTCTGGTGCTGTTCTCGTTCCATCTTCACCTGGAACAGCCTGGCAGGAAAGAAGCCCATGAGAGAGTTTCTCCTGGCCTCTGCTTATTTTCATCCAGTCTGCTTTCAGAGCTTCAGATTATCAAGCAGAGTCACCTAAATCCCCAAGGAGCCTCCCATTTTCTGTTCTGCACTGAACAGAAAATCACAAACCAGAAAGGCACCGGTAAGAACTCATGTCTACAGTCTAATTTGCCCAACAAGAAGACAAGTGAGAACTCAAACCAATGTAATGGGAAAGGTTATACAGCGACATTTCCTCCCCAAAAGGAGATCACGGGGTACTAAAATTTGGACATAGAAGACAAGGAATCAGGAAAAAGAGCAGAACTTTTATAATAAATGTTTTCATTAAAGCCACCCCACTCCCTACCAGCCTACTCCACCCCATCCCCTGTACTCTAGACCAGGAGAGTTAGCAAATTATGGCCCATGAGCCAATCTGGCCCACTGCCTGGTTTTGTAAATAAAGTTTTACTGGAACACAGCCATGCTCATTCATTTATGTATTGTTTATGGTCGTTTGCACAATACAATGGTAGAATTGAACAGTTCCAACAAAGACCATATGGCCCATAAACCCTAAAGCATTTACTATCTGACAGAAAAAGTTTGCCAACCTCTGCTCTAAATGGAACTCACAACTATTCTACCTTTTATTTTGTAAAGTCTTTACTGCACTCTAAATTTTGATTTTTTTCTTACCAACCTCTTTTCTGAAATTAACCTCTAAGAATGTTTCAAAAGCAAACACTACACCATCAAAATGGCAAAGGTAATCAAATGCTTTTATGATATAATGTCCTGTTTTTCTTGAATTTCCCTCTAGACTTCACTCCTGCTTAACCTCTCACTTAAGGCTTCTGTCATGGCCAGTGGGCTTCATGGCACCATCTATTTTCACACCTTCGTTTCAAATCCTCTTGTCACAGATTTTAACACAACACGATGGCAGGGCCATCTTGCCCTTGTCTTTCCTTCTCTGAAGACCCAAAAGAAGTATATAAGCACTGGTCACAAAATTGGTCAGCACTGGGCTTCCCTGGTGGCGCAGTGGTTGGGAGTTCACCTGCCGATGCAGGGGACGCGGGTTCGTGCCCCGGTCCGGGAGGATCCCGCATGCCGCGGAGCGGCTGGGCCCGTGAGCTGTGGCCGCTGAGCCTGCGCGCCCGGAGCCTGTGCTCCACAGCGGGAGAGACCGTAGCAGTGAGAGGCCCGCGTACCGCAAAAAAAAATAAAAAATTGGTCGGCACCATCCAGGACAAAATTCAGAACGTGGGAGACTGTGGAGGTCATGTGACACATGCTTTTTAGAGACTGGGCCCAGGCTCTTTGAGATCTGTCCTTAGATATCACCACTCAGCATTCCTTGCTTCTCACTTGGCTGCTCTGAGATCTACTCTAAGGGCTGAAACTTTACAAATATCCTTTGAGGTTACACAAAGAATTTTTAAATTATTAAATTCATTCTGCTTAGCAGGCTACACGTCACCAGTTTTATAATTTTATAAGAATAAGAGGGAGAAAAGGAAGGGTCAGCAGCCCTATAAAGATCTGGAAGGTTGGGCAGAATTAAACGGACAAAAACGATCTGGCTTGGGCTTCCGTGGTGGCGCAGTGGTTAAGAATCCACCTGCCAATACAGGGGACACGGGTTTGAGCCCTGTTCCAGCAAGATCACACGTGCCTCGGAGCAAATAAGCTCGTGCACCATAACTACTGAGCCTGAGCTCTAGAGCCTGTGAGCCACAACTACTGAAGCCCACGCACCTAGAGCCCGTGCTCCACAACAAGAGAAGCCACCGCAATGAGAAGCCCACGCACCGCAACAAAGAGTAGCCCCCGCTCGCCGCAACTAGAGAAAGCCCGCACGCAGCAATGAAGACCCAACCCAGCCAAAAATTAATTAATTAATTAAAAAAAAAAAAAGTGTCTGGCTCCATTGGTGCAGGAAACCAGGAAGAGCACAGGCTCTGGGCCAGAACTTACTCCTCCAGGTGTCTCCGGAGCTCCCCTTCACTTCCCTCCAGCCGCCGCTGCAGCTCGGCATTCTCTTCTACCTTGCTTTCATGTTGACTTTGGAGTGCTTCTAAGTTTGCTTTCACTCTCTCTCTCTCTTCTTTGATGTTCTGCTGATTCTAATAAGAATATGTGATGTTAAAGTACCTCCACCGTACATTAATGTCATCCCACTGAAGCCTCCTTCTAATCTCTGATGGACTCCATGTCTCCGCACTTAGATTATTAAACAACTTGATGGAACTATGTAATAAAGGCATGGGAGTTCGCAACTAGAAAGAATACTAAACACTTAATGAACTGTAATACTTCTAAAAGAGAAACACAAACACAGCTAAATCACATTCTGCTCTTTCTATTACTTAGTCCAGATGTTTTATATACATTTAGTTTCCAATTTGCCTGTCTGAATCCAACAGCATTTCTATTACTCTGTCAAAGCCAACATTCTCTATGTCCTTTGGTTACTTAAAAAAGAAGTTCTTTGGGCAGCAGGAACTAAATATACAGGAATTTGCTCAGTGATGGGAAGAATGTTTCTTTTGGAAAAAAAATTTGTTTTCACTTCACTTGGGCAACCCAAGGTACTTAAAATATTCTTTATCAATCAAGACGGAACAGAATAAAATAGCATAAAGAAAAATCAGATACCTTGACTTCTAGTTGAAGCTGTCTCTGAAGTTCAGCCACTTCTGTGGTCAACTTGTTTTTCTGTTCCAAGAGATCTTTGACTTCAGATGAAGAATTACAAGCCTACGATTAATTGCAAAAATATCCTAAGTGTTCAACATGCTTTATATTTTTCTTGCATGAACATTAACAACAAGATGACACTCTCAAAAGGATTCGGCTAAAATCCTACAGCAAAGTGGTTAGGAAACTCCAACTAAAAGGGAGGGGAAAAGGTAAAAGCAGAAATCAAAACCAGAAATCAAAACCAAAAAAGGCAGTGTCTTGGCTCTCATGCACCTGAATCCAGGTGTGAGTCATGCATGAACTTAGAATGAGGTACTTCCTCATCTACTCCTATGAAGCAGACCAGAAACCAACAGTCAACAGAAACACAGCACTTCCAATTTTCTTAGGCAAAATGAGAACAATCTATCTTAGAAATGTAAATCTAACCCAAGGAGGGAAATTGTAGATTGTTCTTTCCCAAACAAAAACTGCCTGCTTCGTGGCTTTCCAATGTGGTCTTAGCCCATTAAGGGAGAGGGTTCTCTTGCACGAAATCACTTAACTGACACCAAAATATAAAACTCCAAAACCTTTGCCAGCAAACAATCAGATTCATAAAGTGAGAGAGAAGGGGAGTGGGAAAATGTGGGCAATTAAGCAGTCACGGCACTGTGATCACAGCCACAAGTCTAAGAACCTAAGTTCATCGTCTCATTATCTCTGGCTCGATTAAGAAGCAGCTGTTGCTTAACTGGTCCCCCATCCTCTAATCTTACCTCTCTCCAAAAACTACAAAGAAATGAATTTTTATAAATACGACACTACTCATTGCTGTTTAAAGTCCATCATGGGAAGCCTATCACCTTGGGCTTGAAATGAAAATTGACATGATCTACAAGGTCCTGCCTACCTGGTGCGTGGTCCCCATATCCTAGCTCTCTTCTCCAGCTACACTAAATTACCTCTAGTCCCCTAAACACAGGAAGCAGACACCTCTTCATATTTTATGTTTTTTGTTCTGTTCCCTCTACCTAGAACTCCCTGCTTCCCCTCTCTGGGAGAATTCTATGATCTTTTGAGACATCATTAGTGTTATCGACTCCAGAAGGGCTACCCCAACTTCCCCAGTTTAGGCTGGATACCCTAGTCTGGAACCACAATGACAATCTTAGCATCAAGACCAAAGGATGCATTCTGCAGGAGAATATGCAGGTTAATGCAAAGCAACAGTAATGGTAATGATTTGGATTTTATAGATTTAGCAAAAAAAATCCTAACCCAATTTAAAAAACTGTGTAGAGTTCCTGAAACCTGCCTATAAGCAAGGTGTATAATTTAAAGGTTCCCCAGTGGGAACTGTGTGTGTGCATACATAAAAATATTTTATATATTTATAATATCAATACACAATATATAATAAAATACATCTCTATAAAGATATCTAATAAAATGTTTATATATTTAAAATTTTATTTCTAAGGATAAACTGAAAAATGTTTTTATTTGATGCCAGAGCAGCAGTCATGGGTTAACTGAGTGCAAGGGGAATACGGAACAGTAGAGAAAAAAGGGTAGTTGATGCCTATAAATATCCTTTATTCATACGTTTCCAAAGTTAAAAAAGAAGCAACAGACCAACTCCCTGTTACCTGCCCCTGGGTATCTTCTTTCCTTCCAGTGCAGAATTCCCCCCAGAAAGGAAAAGGAAAGATGCCCAAGCAAGAAATGCGGCATTCAAGGTGGCATAGAATTGAGGGACAAGATTTTAGTCGTCCCTCTTAAATGCTGCTTCCTTTCATGGCATAAGGTATGTCTACCATATAGTACATGTTCATCAAATAGGGGATGAGTCCTCCTTTAAAAAAAAATCTCCAAGTCCTAACTAAAATTCAGTACAATAAATTAAACAGGCAGTTTTTTAAAAAAGAATTTAGCCCCACTCTACTCCTTCCTTTCCCTTCAGCCCATGCTGGTCAGCCCACCAGTCTCTCTTCCGTATTCTCTAGTTTGATTCTCTTATTTCTTATTCTCTGAAGTTTGAGAACTTGGGTCCAAGCCCGTTCATACTTTTCAAACCTGCCTACGATAGCACTAGGGTTCTCCATCCCATGCTTCATTTCATTCGTCCTATTCTTTTCCCTTTCTAAATTTTTACCACCTATTGTTTCATCCTGTTATATTTTATAGATTTTTTTAAAAATAAAATTTCTTAAAAACTTTCTCAAAAAAAAGTAATGATAAAGAAGGGCTTCCCTGGTGGCGCAGTGGTTGAGAGTCCGCCTGCCGATGCAGGGGACGCGGGTTCGTGCCCCAGTCCGGGGGGATCCCACATGCCGCAGGGCAGCTGTGCCCGTGGGCCATGGCCGCTGGGCCTGCGTGTCCGGAGCCTGGGCTCCGCAGCGGGAGAGGCCACAGTAGTGAGAAGCCCGCGTACCGCAAAAAACTTTCTAGAAAAAAGGCCGGGTGCAAATTAGCAATATTTAAAACATGCTGTTCCATCTTCGGTACTGCTTACTACTCAGGAGACTTCCCACTAACTACTGTAACCAAAAGTACAGACTGCAGAAAGCGATTTGTTTGCCAGGTTCCATGTGAAATGCCCTCTACAAAATACAAAGCTTCGCCTTACTTGATTATTTCCTTGTGTGCTCCCTGCTGCTCGAGACTTCAAAGTCTGGATTTTCTCAAAGACCAGGTTGACCTTCCTCTTAGTAGCATCATCATTATCGGTGCTTCTGGAAAAAAATACAATGAGGGCACAACCGTTGGCCTCAAACTATTTTATGTGCCACGACACACAAACAGCAAGCCCTTTAAGAAGATAAATCACAAGAGGCGTGAATTAATTAAGGCTGCAGACACAACCAGTGTGAGGAGAGCAGGATAGATGGTGTATTTTTCTCCAGACAAATTGTTCAATGTTACCACCTGATTTGGGAGAGGGGTTTCCCATTTCCAAACATGTGAAAGAGACACAAGCACATTCTAAATAAGCTTGGAAATAACATCCAATAAAAATTTAGTAATTTGTTGCTTGCCTGATTCAAATGACATATATTCACTCCAACAAGGAATCTCTCCTGTATGTGTGTCACGCTAGGAATGATCCACCGTGATCTTAACTTGTTTTAGCCTTTGTTTAAAAAAATAATCCCCCAAGCCAAGGTTGTTAACACAGCTGCCCTTTGTCTAGACTTTCATAGGTAATGGTCAGATAAAGTTCTATTAAGGACTACCTTCCATCACACATACCTGGCACTTAGGGAAAAAAATTTTTTTAAACGGAGGGGGATCTCTCCCCTTATTTTCTTTCTTTTTTTAAAAATTTATTTTATTTATTTATTTATTTTTGGCTGCGTTGGATCTTTGTTGCTGCGCACGGGCTTTCTCTAGCTGCAGTGAGCGGGGGCTCCTCTTCGTTTTGGAGCGCCGGCTTCTCATTGCGGTGGCTTCTCTTGTTGCAAAGCACGGGCTCTTAGGCACACGGGCTTCAGTAGTTATGGCACATGGGCTCAGCAGTTGTGGCTCACGGGCTCTAGAGCGCAGGCTCAGTAGTTGTGGTGCACGGGCTTAGTTGCTCCACAGCATGTGGGATCTTCCCAGACCAGGACTCGAACCCATGTCCCCTGCATTGGCAGGAGGATTCTTAACCACTGGCGCCACCAGGAAGCACAGGGGAAAAAATTTTGAAGTAAGTTTCCTTAAAAAGGTGCCTCCCACTAAAGTCTGTCCCACCAGTCTCTCAATAAATCATGGGCCAAAAAAATAAAAGAATGTAGAGAAAGAATTTTAAATGTTAGAAGTTCTCCTACCTTAATCTTCTCATGGTAAAACCCTTCACAGAAAGACACTAATAAAAGTTCTTAGCTAGAAGAATCTCTTTACTTTTTCTTTTTTCAGAAGAGCCCCTATCTTATATTTTGAATGATTCTGTCAGCTCTATATTACTGACAGAAAATTGTAAGGCACAATATAAAACTGTGAAGTGTTCTGATACCAATGAGTATTTGCCAAGTGACTTTCAGTCATGTCAGACTATAAAGCTTTTCTTCTTTTTAATCATATCTGATGAGAGAACTGAAACAGAAACTTCAAATTCCTGGCCTAGAATTCCAGCTCAGTTGGTATCTAAGTAAGGACTGAAAACCAGATTATTCAAACTCATCCCCCCAGATAAGTAAGTGGAAAGCACTGCTTTTAAATGACTCATACATGCTTTAAAAATAATGGAAGCAGGGGCTCCTGGCCAACGTCAACTCTGGGGAGGGGAGGAGGTGTTTTTATTTGTAACTTCTAATAAGGGATGACTGATTACCCCTGTGTGCATACGAACTCAAGGCGACAACACTCAGTTTAAAACTGAATAGTAGACACTCCTCCTATCTTTGAATTTGTTTCTGAAACAGTAAACAATCATTTTTAAAACATATTCATTTTTAACTTTTAAAGTAGGATGTTCTTCCCCACACTTCCTTCCCCTGCTCTTCACCCTCCTCCACCCAAGACTTAAATGCTTTTATGACAACTCCAGCCATGGAGTCTGCACCCCGAAATGGCTCACACAGGGCAGGAAGGGAGGGTAAAACACAAGGTCTCAGAAAAGAAAATTAAGACGCCCACCAGGAAGGACGATACTTTGTTCCTTGAAGGAAAATCACTAACCCTTCTTTGAGGTAATTGTAAAGTATCTGCTTGGCCGTCTCCTCATTGGTTTGCTGAGTGAGTTCTTGCTGGCCTTTTAACAGATCCGGTGTGGCCTGGAACACAATGTTTGTTATTAGATCACAGGATGCTGCTTCCAAGAAGAAGGCAAAACCCCACAGCAGAAGCTTCCAAACACATTCCTGCTTCCCAGAAAGGATTCCTCGGGTAAGGATGCTCATTACAACTGGTTCCACCACTTAGTAGCTCTGTAACCTTGGGCAAGTTACTTAACTTTTTCTCACCTCAATTTTCTTGCCTGTAAATAGAAGTTAATAGTACCTACCTTCATAGGGTTGGTGCGATCCTATAATACATAACAAAGAGTGCCTGGCACTTACCAACCTTAGTATCATTTTTATCATTACCATTATTTTTTACTGTTACTACCAAAACACTAACTGGACCACATAAATAAATTCCATCACTTCAGGATAAACCTAAATTAGGATTAACCTAATTTCTCAGGACAGAAATTAATCCAGTCACTCAATGTCATGAGGAAAATTAATACATCTAAATAAACCTAAGTACGGAGCCTCTTGTTTTGGAAACAAATTCTGCATACTTTCAGATTTTACACATACACGAAAAGAAAAATCGAGCCTCTCTATAGTGTTTGACAAGTTACTTTACAAACAAGGACACAACAGGAATCTAGTGGTACTTGAATTTACTTAGAAAACCAAGCGATTAGCAGTAGGTCATAATGTACTGCTAGGGGGAAAACTCTAAAAACTATTACTGATTCAAGGTGGTGCAATTACTGACTCAGGATGGAAGATATGTATTCCTCCAGCCAGGATGTATTGATACACCACTTAGAAGGAACAAAAAGACTCCCACCAGTATTACCTGAGTATTTGAGGTGGAAGTAAATGTCTTCACAGAAATCCTCTTGGTACCTGAGTCCGGGGAAGTTGCTAGTGCCCGATTCTGTAACATCAACGTAGCGGTGGCTGTTTTGATTTCCTCCCCCTTCTTAGTCTGTGCCGGGAGGGAGGATGTGCGCCCAGTCGGACTTTCCTGACCACCTTTGTTTTCTGGAACTTTCCCATCTTTGTTCTGCAGGGGCGGCCTGGGCTGGGCTCCCTGCAGCCTGGCGAAGGCGCGCCCTCCGCCCTGCCTCCCCCCGTGCTCCTGCGCCTGTGCCCTCTGCGGGCACACCTGCGACGGCCGCAGCAGGTGTTCGCTGGACTTGCCCAGGTTTCTGCTGAATTCGGTCAGGTACTCCGAGTTCCCTTGGAGACCGAAAGGAAATGCACTATCCACGCTTCGGGACCTTTTCCTGTCTTCTGGGTTGATCCTGTTTCGCTTCCCAGACCTGCCTCTTCTCTGCAGCCCAGGTTTTTGGTCAAATTTTTCAATTAACTGATCCACGCCAGGAATCGACCCCGTATCAATATCCCGTCCAGTTCCGGGCAAGAAGGGGATATACCTTCTGTTCTCATGACGATTCACATTGTCGGCATGGATGGCACATTCTTGGTCATCGAGTAAAAATCTGTACAAAGAGTTGGCCGAAGTGGGAGTTGTGGACGATGAGGATGACCTCCGGGACCGGGCTCCATCCAGCACGGGCCCGGCTGAGTCCTGGCGCCGGAACGGAAGCACGTCGGGCCTGGTTTTCTTGGCTTCCGGGTGGGTGTGCGCGCTGTGGGTGGGTAGGGGCCTCCCGCTAGGGGCAAGGGCCTCCTCTGCCAGCCCCTCCTTGCTGCAGCTCTGAACGTTCACGCACACCGAGGTCTGCTTCTTGGGGTCATCAATGACCACGGAGCTGCACAGTCGAATGGCCGTCACGCTGGATCTGGCCGGGTCTTCCGAGGGAGGTCTGGTCGGCTGGGAATGGCTAGGTTTGGACGAGCAAGTCCAAACCTTCTTATTGTTGGTCCCTTCTTCTGCGAAAGCTTTTAGCCAATTACTCGCAGGAGGCTGGTGATTTTGTAAGTTCAACTCATTCTTTTCAGGATCATAGGGCTGTAAAAGCTCTGGATGCCTCTGAAAGTTCAGCACGGGGGATGGCTTCATCGCTTCCCCTTTGTGATCTAGAACTCCATTCTTGCCCTCAAAGAGAGAGGGCTGTTTCAGGTTTCTTACTGGGCCGGGTGGGGCATATGGGTTTTCGGGCAGCTGCAGTTCTTCTGCACTGTTCTCCTCGAGCACAGATCCATTGCTGGAATGGAGAGGCAGGTTACTTGTCACTGGAGACGGAAATGATGGCCCATTTTCAGAAAAAGACGTGCCTGCCAGACACCGCTCTGTGTTATTGAGGACTATGTAGGGGTGGCCATCGATCCCCTGGACCCGAATACTGACACCGTAGGAGCCCGCCTTAGCGGGCTGGGAATTCCTTGATTTTTTGGTTTCATCACTTGCGAGTCTCAGATGCACACCATATTCCTGCTGCACATGTTGGTATTCACCGAAATACAGCTCCATGGCTCACTGTTGTTCACTACCAGGGAAAATTGGGGTAAAAAGAGGACATTAAGTTAAAATTATATCTGTTTAAATGAAGATTATGAGGGAAGACTTCAAAGTTCAGGGAAAACCAAACACTTTAAAGAGCAAGGACACTTCAGAACCAAATGCTCGTCCAAACAGGCCTTTCTGGATGCCTGTGGGCCCACGTGACCGTGGTGCTTGTCAACACTGAGCTTGAACCCTGGCCTTAGGGTAGATGACTGGCCAAATGACCTGATGCCTTTGGTAGAGCTTAATTATTCTGTTTCTAGCTGACGGGCTGTGCTGGTTGCCATGTTTTCTCCTTAGTTCATTTCCTCACCCTTTATGCTATTTATTTTTAACCAATAGGATGTTCCAGTATACCAGCATTTGAGAACAAGGTACTTTTCCAAGAAAATAATTAAGAGCTAAGGCGTTCTGATGCTCACCATTTTTCTTTTTTTCTAAACTGTTAATTTTCTTGTCAAAACCCTTTCAAGCTTCTTTATGCACAACCCTGCTTTGAAATCTTTATCATTATTTATTTGGCTATGGTGTTTAAAACATTTTTACTTTAAGGAAGCAGCTGTTTGTGAGACTGACAATGAGAGTAAGTGATTAAAAATAGCTTTCAATTTTTTTTTTAACCAAAAAGTTCAAGTTGGGACTTCCCTGGTAGTGCAGTGGTTAAGAATCCACCTGCCAGGGCAGGGGACACGGGTTCGATCCCTGGTCAGGGAAGATCCCACATGCCGTGGAGTAACTAAGCCCGTGCACCACAACTACTGGGCCTGTGCTCTAGAGCCCGCGAGCCACAACTACTGAGCCCATCCGCCACAACTACTGAAGCCCGCGCGCCTAGAGCCCATGCTCTGCAACAAAAGAAGCCACCGCAGTGAGAAGCACGTGCACGCAACGAACAGTAGCCCATGCTCACCACAACTAGAGAAAGCCGCGCAGCAACTAAGACTCAACACAGACAAAAATAAATAATTTTTTAAAAAAATTGAAAAAAAAATCATAAAAAAAAAAACAGTTCAAGTAACATAAGGACCTGAAAAATTTTATGAAGAACCTGAAGACTCGAGGCTGTTTATTTTGTGATGGGTCCTAATACCAAGAATCACTGCCTTCACCCGTTCTGGTGTGTGACCACCCTGTCAGAGACTGCATACGTATCACCAAGCAGGCTGTCCAGTCCACCCCACACTGTGAGGTTCTCTCAGCAGAAATTCACTTCTGTCACTCTGAAAAACTCCAATAGCCACAGAGATGCAGGAAGAACAGAAACAACTGGTCACAGAAAACAGCTGTCTCATTTCTTTCACTCTTAGCAGACTTCCTGAGTTTCCCTTCTATTCTGGAGTCAATCTGGTGGCATATTTTCCAAGAAAATCATCTATTTGATCCACATTTTCAGATTTATTTGCACAGAATTTTGCAACGTACACATCATTTCATCTCCTCTATTTCTATTTCTCATTATCTAGTTTTATCTGTGCTTTCTTCACCTATTTCTTGCTTATGCAGGTAAAATATGTCTACATGTTTTTAGATTGTTGTTCCCCTAAAGAACTAGCTCTTAGATTTATCATTTTTTTTAATTTTCTAATTTATTGAGGTCTAGTTTGATCATTATTTCCTTCTGCTTCCCTTTATTCTGTTTCCAATTTCTTTTTTTTGAATTTTTGAATTTTTAAAATATTTTTTATACAGTTTCTTATTAGTTATCTATTTTATACATATTAGTGTATATATGTCAATCCCAATCTCCCAGTTCATCCCACCACCCCCTACACGCACTTTCCCCCTTGGTGTCCATACGTTTTTTTCTACATCTGTATCTCTATTTCTGCCTTGCAAACCGTTTCATCCATACCTTTTTCTAGATTCCACATATATGCGTTAATATACTATATTTGTTTTTCTCTTTCTGACTTACTTCACTTGGTATGACAGTCTGTAGGTCCATCCATGTCATGTTTCCAATTTCTTGCATGCTTCATTTGTTTATTTTCATTCTTTTATTACAGTCCATAAATTGTGATATGTGACTGTCAGTTAGGAATTGCGTTGGTTCCTAACAAACAGACCCAAAATAGCAATTTAAGAGTTAGGATATTTTTCCCCTAGAGATAGGAAGTCCAGAGCTGGAATGGATGCCAGGATATTTTTGAGGAACACCTCTTTTATCTTTCTACTCATCTACTTTTAGCATGTAATAGACACCTTATGATTACAAGATAGCTGATCCAGCATCACATATACCAGATGGGGCAACCTTCTTTTTAAGGAGCTTTCTTGGAAGCCCCACCCACCAATAATCCCTTGCATCTTATTGGTGAGAACTTAACCTTATGGCCACCCCCACCTACAAGAAAGGGTTGGGAAATAACGGGTTTTTTTGAGCTGGTCATTGACACTCTCAAAATCAATGTTCTGTTGGTAAAAAGAGAGAAGAGAATGGACATTGGGAAGGCAGCCAGTAGTTTCCACCACAGAAATGTTTCTATTATTATTTTCTAGATAGTTTCAATTTGTGGTTTTGATTTCTTTGACTCAAGAGTTGTTTTCGAGAAAGTTCTTGCATATCCGGTATGTTTGCTATGCTGTTTTGGCTTGGAGGGTCTTTATTTCTGTATGTTGTTAATTTCTATTTGCATTGTATTATGGTCAGAAAATGAAGTCACAGGAATTCCCTGGCGGTCCAGTGGTTAGGACTCTGCACTTTCACTGCTGAGGGCATGGGTTCAATCCCTGGTCAGGGAACTAAGATCCCGCAAGCTGCATGGTGCGGCCAAAAAAAAAGAGAGAGAAAGAAAGAAATGAAGTCATTGTTATTTCTTTCTTTTTCAATGTATTGAGGTTTCTGTTGTGGGCAAATATACAGATAATTTTTGTCCATGTTCAATGGGTGCTGGATGTAGTTTGTGTTTTAAGGGATGGCATTCAAAATACATCCATTAATATGCCCTTACCGATTATTTAGTTCAGTTATAGCACATCCTCACTTATTTTGTCTTTCTAATTTGTCTTGGGCCTTCCTGGATACATTCATCTCCTACTACTAGCTTGGTGCTATCAGTTTGCTCGGTGATTATTCTTTTAAATGTAAATCATGTTAGATATCATCACCTCCCATTTTACAGATAGGAACAACTCGGAGAGATCCAGTCATCTGCAATATTCATCATCTCACGGATTCCAGTGATTGATTTCATAATGTCTACTTTCACTTGCATCAGCGTTATACTAACATTTTAAAACAATTTAACTTTTAATCAGAATAAAACAAGATAAGATGAAAACCTGTACTCTCCAGCTTCCCATCCCCAATCCTGATCACATGCCTCAGAGGAAACCAACTGCAAATTGCAGCTGTTTCTTCTAGTACTAACCTCCATGTTGCTGAGTGATACGCCTAGCTGCCATTTATCATTTTTACCTGTGGTAGATGACACACGCATACATATGAATTTCTCATTCTGCTAGCTTCCCAAGAATAAAATCAAGAGCCAGCTGTGTTTACATTATTGTGAATATATAAATACTGTTTACTGAAGTGCTAGATCGTAGACTGGCCATCCTCTCTTCCATAACTTTAACTTTTCTAGAGGCAGTAACTGCTATTTTTAGCTTGTCTTGCTTTCTATATACCTACCCTTAAATCTCTTCATCAGCTACATGACATCTGTTAGATGCTTACCAGTATTAACTTCCAGATGATCAAAATATCAGGTAATCTGGTGGTCTTTTCCCGTGGTGACCTCCCTTGCAAACTTCCACCCTCCAGCCCTATATTAGGGTCTGGTTGCTCTCTTCCCTTTGTGCTATATTGTTTCCCCAAGTTTGGTGTCTTCCTCTTTCTTAATTTACCCAATTGGTCTGAGGGAACACGGGCCCAATAACTTTTAAAGAAAAGGTCCAAGGGAGAAAAACTTTGAGTCCTTGTATTTTCAAAAATGTCTTCATTCTTCGCTTACTTTTGAATGATAGTCTAGCTGTATTTAGCATCCAGGTTAGAAGTAACTTTCCCTCAGAATTTAAAGTATTACTCTGTTATCTTCTAACTTCCAGGGATGCTATTAAGAATTCTGGTGCTATTATGATATCCTGTCCTCTGTGTACGCCCTGTTTATTTTTCTCTGAAAGTTTTTAGGACCTTTTCCTTGTCCTTGGTGTTCTGAAATTTCACGATGACATTTCCCAGTGAGTATTTTATTAAACTGGCCACTTTTATAAAACATGAGCACTTAATATAGTCCTTCAATTTGAAAATTCCCTTTAGTTCCATGAAATGTCCTTGTATTACTTCTGTGATAATGTTTAGAAAACCATTTTATTTTGTTCTTGGTGTTTGCATCTAACGTATTAGTAATGTTGAATCTTCTAGACTGAATTTCAATTTTTCATGTTTCTCTTCTCATCTACTCCTCAACTCCATCGTTTTTGTTCTAATTTTTGAGAGATACTTGAGTTTTAAAAATTTGAGGATGTATTTAATTTTTAATTTCCACTTTTCCTTTGTTCTTCTCTAATTGTTTTTCTTCTTAAGTTCTATTTTGGACATGAAAACAGCTTCTCTGAGGATATTATACTATAACTTTTTTTTCAGAAAAATGCAATTTCTCTGCTGTCCGCAACATCTCCATCTTCCGCAAGGTTTCTCTTTGCTGGTTTGTTTGGGTCCCTGTCTTTCATGTTGAAAGCCTTCTAATATGACTTGGATCTTTGGCTGCCTGATCCTATTTAAGAGGGAAGTAGTAAAAGCAGATTGGAGGCTCCGTATACATGGAAAGGAGTTATTAGCTGGTAGGCTTCAAGTTATGTGGGGCGAAGAGTGCCAAGTTTTCCACTGAGGGACCCGCACATTTCAGTGTCTGGGAGTATTCTTCTCTAGAGCTGTTTGACTTCCCAAGAAAAGAATCTTCCAATCCACTACTGAGGCTGCGGTGGGGCTGGCCGCTGGTCTACGGGACAGGGCAGGGGAGGAGAAGGGAGGTCGCAACT